AAATGCTGACTGTAAGCAGTTTTAAAGTTACTAAGCGATTGATTCAAGAGAAAATAAACAGAAGACAGGATGTTTTTCATTTCAGTCTCAGTGATATTGTAGTTCATTCCTTAATGAAAGCTACAATTTAAAAACTATATAGACAAGAAAGTGAGAGTTAGTTTTTTTTTTAACTTGTTTGTATATAGATCTAGCTTTATATTCTTTCTTATTGTGTGCCATCTGTAATGTTTGACTCAAATACCCCACAGAACTGGACAGCATAGTGAGCTCCCATCCTCTGTCAACCTGTCACCCTTAACCCACGAAGTTCAGGAACTGTGGGATATGATGTTTGTTTAATTGTCATGTAAATGTTAGGCAAGACTGTCACATTTGTTATTTTTCATTAATAGTAGTACTATTCTTGTACATATCAACAGGAGTTTGACTTCAGTTTTCCTACACCGCTCCTTCCAGCTGTAGAGCTGCTGCTGGTTTCAGCTGTTGTTGTTTCAGGCTCCATTTGTCTGTTTGAAGGGGAAGGTGGATATAAGACTGCTGTTGTAACCACAAGAAGAAGAAAAACAAAAAAAGCTCACCGCTGATTTTCAAAAATTATTTCAGTTGCACTTTTTCAACTTTTATTGACGTGGTTTCACGTATAAGGTTTCAGGAGGAACAAGAGTTTCCTCTCTGCTATTATAATAATATGAACCATAGCGGCAGGAGAAATCAGCAAGATGAAGAGGAGCATTGTGTCCCTCCTCTACCCTGGCTCACTTTATCTAATGTTCGTAATGGGAAACTATTTCCCTCTTCACAAGAATTCTTTCATTTCCTCGTAGTTTACTGTAAACCTGATGTTCTAGATGAATGGTTCCCTTCATGGAAATCAGTGCATGTGACAAACGCGTAATTGTTGTCCCAAGTCTGGGTAATCAGACAGACAACAATAACCGTCCTGACATTTATCAAGCACAGGATTAGTTTGGATGTAAACGACAATCACATAAAGCTCACAGGCTTAAAGTGCTAGTAAAGTATACCTATGTTTTTTGTTTTGTTTTTTTCCTCTCATGCTAGCTGAGTATGAAACACAAACCATGTGATAAAGTAAGCTTTGTTTAGCACAAAGTGCTGCCTGGCTGAAGTCCACTCACCACTGGCTGCAAAACCACAGCTTAGTCGGTTTCACACCTTGGTTTTTGTATGCATGATGCAAATGAGATGTGGTATGGCAGTTTGCGAGTTTTACAAATACAGGTTCTCACATTTGTTAGCTTTTTACAGAGCCATGCTAGCAGTTTCCCTCTTTTTGTGCTAGGATAGCTAACAGCGGTCTGACTGTAGCGTAGCATTCGCTGTTTAGAGTCGTTTATATGGATTCTAATTTATTGTTTTAGGAATAAAAGTGATCGATAAAATATGCTGCTTATATTCTTTCACTTTTTTGGAGTCTGTTGACTCCAAAGGTTTGATATTTAATAACTACTGCTTTTAATGTTTTTGCATTGAATTGGTGTAACAAAATATAAGTGTTCAGGCCCTACAGGTTTGGAAATGATGTTCAGGTTGGGCCAGTTTGACTGCTAAGTGAAAATAAGGCACTTTAGGATCATTTTGGTTTGACAACAGTGTAACAACTCACCACAACAAACCATTCAAGTATGTGGGAGTTTCCATCCTCTCCTCTGCCTAACGATTGTAGTTTTTTGGCCCCTCTCTTGCAGACATCCTTTCTGTCTGCTCTCGATCCTCTCTGTTCCTTTGTTTTCACACTCTTCTTCTTCTTTCAGCTGCTCCCTTCAGGGGTTGTCACAGTGGATAATCTGCCTTCTGCTCTGTCTGTAGCATCGTCCTCTGTCACACCAAGCCCTCTACATGTCCTCCTTCACTACATCCACGAACCTCCTCCGTGGTCTTT